GTGTGTGTGTGTGTGTGTGTGTGTGTGTGTGTGTGTGTGTGTGTGTGCGCGCGTGCGTGTTGTTTCCAGAGGTGTGAACACGCAGGAGCTGGACACTCCAGCTATCGAGAAACGATTTGCCTACACCTTCCTCCAGCAGCTCATCACATACGTAGACCAGGCACACCAACACATGATGGAGTTTGGTGAGACTTTTCTGTTAGTCAAAAACAAATGACGAGTTTTTATATCAATGTAATGCAAAGATCATGCCAAGTACTGTAGTTTATGTAACTGAACTCTGGTCTAGATTCGTAGAGATCCGTAGTAGCAAAATGATAAAAGAAAGCACATAGTGGCTGCTGAAGAACAGTGGATTTTGGAAGTTGTTCAATAATGGGGGTTATTGGCTGTCACACTGAATACTCTCTTCAATGGACTCTTTGCACCACAAATTCAACTGCATAAATATTTTTTGGAATGAGATAAAAATCTTGCTCCTAGCTTAAACACCTGAGGCAATGTGTCTGATGAATGTCACCATGTACTGTATATCTATGTATATCTATTCAGACTGTACTGTCTTTGATTGTGTTCTACTCATCATTTAGATCTGGGAACAAGACCGAAGGGGGAGAAGATTCCTCATGAACAACAGATTAAGTTCTTTGGAAAGGTCAGAACTCATCATGTTATTTTGGTTTACTTTGAACTTGGAGTTTTTTTTGTTGAGAAAAGCAGTGTGAGAAAAGCAGAAATTTGTTGTTGTTATTGTTGTATATGTTGTGTAGTATGTGATTTCGAACACAGCCCGACAGTAATTCCTCTGTGTATTTATGCCATTTATCCCTCAGGTCGTCTTGCCATTGGTAGATCAGTACTTTAAAAACCACCGGCTGTACTTCCTGTCCACAGCCATTCATCCAATCAGCAGCGGAGGCCATGCCTCCAACAAGGAGAAGGAGATGGTGACCAGGTGAGTGTGATCAATGACGTGGCAATAGAGAGATAGAAAGTTAGTGATGCCAGTATTGCAGGTTATAGCACTCACTCCCATGTTTTATTGTTGGAGACTACTATTTTAAATCTTCTACATGTGTATAAAGGCTGTGGGCCATTATATCTCCCCTGCTCTCCCTCTGTCTCTCTCTCTCTGGGTTCATTGTCTCACACCTTTCTATTATCTGTTTTCTCCGTTTCCCTCTCTACCTCCTCCTCTCTACTTCCATTGAAACTTTTCCAGTCTTTTCTGCAAACTGGGAGTTCTTGTCAGACATAGGATATCCTTATTTGGTAAGGACGTTCATGCCTAATACTTCCTCTTCTGCCCCTTCTCTGCTGTTGTTCTGAGTGCAGTATGAATGGTTTCATACAGCGGTGACCCAGGAGTAATGCTTATGTCACACCCGCCCCTACTCTGCCTTTGGTTGATCTGCCCTGATAATTGACCTTACTAATCTCCCTCCTCATGCCTAAACCTAACCAACCCACCCAACAAAGGCAAAGAGTAATCCGAGGCAGAGTAGGGTGGGTTATGCCTTTGCCAGTAAAAAGAAATCTTGGAGGTCCGATGACATCATTCTGCATTATAATTAGCCATGAGCTTCTGTGTCTTGCATGGAAGGTGTGTATTTTCGGAGCAGTGGGCCCGCGGGACAAATGGTCGTTTGTTTCCAGATAACAGGCTTTCAAACCAGTGGGACATTTTTCGGACGATGGGACGTGGAAACAATGGGCATTCCCTCATTTTAGACTCACCCATCCATCTCCACCTTCCTATTGCTCTTTAAACTACATCACCTGTCCAGGCACACTATTACAAACAAATTGATAATGTGGGATATTTAAATGAATTATAGTGCATTACTTATAGTAAGTATGTACGACCAGTGAATGACATGCAATAGTTGTTGTAAGTCATTTCAATTGCAATCTAACGTTACTGTTTACATTGCGTGCATCTTTGAGGACTAGCAAGTAGCTAGTTGGATGCATTTCTTTCCTAATGTAACATTTTCAAGGACGAGCTTTCTTACAAGTTTGAAATTTGCATTGTTTCCATCCATGTTTACCTACTAGCAGTCTTCTTCTGCCCCGCCTTTGTTGGCAGATTGCTTAGTTTCTGAAGTACTGAGGACTGAGTGGAGATTTAAACTTACTGTTCACTGAAACATCTTCTGTGCGAGACACATGGTAGAATCAGTTATCCTATAGAGGTATGCATCTCTTATTGTAGATAAAACGCTGTGATCCTGAATGGCAGTAACATGTTTGTGTGGGACTGAGACACAGTTAGAAGACAGACACGAGAAAGCTCCAGAGCGTCAGCAAATAGTGTGAGCAGGGTTGTTGTGTGCATGCATGCATGGTATTATAGTTGTGTGTGTACGCGTCCTCTGCTCAGCAGCTCTGTGTGGTGTGTGGTGTGTATTGCCACTTCTTGCACAATATCCAAATGCTGATGTCATTCTATTCAAAGTCAAAAAGATGTTCCATCTTTGCAGAATAACACCTGATACAACTGATAACAGACAGACACATTTGGACAAATGAAAGATGTTGATTATTGGTGTTGATTAGGCTATTAGACTTCTGAAGCTTTTAGTTTGAAAGGAACCTGTTTTTTCTTTGAATATGATGCTCTGCTGTGTTATTTACTAAACTAAAGTACTATTGGTTTGAACAAGGCGGTTGTTTTGTTGTATTCGTGTGCTTGACTTCCCATACCTGAATGAAAGGAACGTCAAACCCCACCCAGCATGCACCTGGGGTTTTCTGTTTATTATATGATTCTGTCTACTTTTCAGGTAACAATGCCACATCCATAGTCAACTGTCTGCAGATATTGGGACAAAGCCTGGATGCCAGGTAAGGAGACATGGATTGAGCTTGTGTGTGTGTATGTGTCTGTCCTTTTGTCTTTCCACCAGGGAAGATGTAGTTGAAGGACACATACTATGCATGTTGTCCCATGGAGTTAAAGATGAATACTGACGATGCTCTGAAGAAGAAGACCTTCTGGAAGTGAACAAATCGGTTAACAAAGCCTCCTCGCGTTCTCACTTGCCACAGTGGACGTGTCAACACTCCCGGCATTTATGAGTAGCTTTCTCATTAGCAAACACGGTGTGAATAAGCAAACCTGCTTTTTGGCCCACAGTTTACCTCGGCGCTTTGTTGTTCTTTGTATCCTGGAGGCCAGCGACACAGAAAAGAGGAACATTGTGTGACCACCAGCCGAATTTCGCCCTCATTTACATGAAGTTAAACATGCCCATGCATACATTCCAACTCAACTGGAATAACAAACAGCAACTGAACCTGCACATATTCATTAACAGTTCAGACTCATTGGCTATCAGGAAGCCTCTGATTACTGGATGGCTGCGCTCCTTCCTGAGCCACTGTTATTTCATGTGATGTCTGCTAATTAAAGACAAACCCAGGAATTATGTCATTATTCAGTGCGCTTCTGTTACTTTAACTGTACATTGAACCCAGAAGTAGATAGAAGTCAAATCATTCTCATTCTAGAAGTAGACAAACCACCGATCACTATGCTGAGGGACTTGACTCCAAGTATTCCTTCTATTCAACCACATATAAATCATTCCTTCACATTGATGTCTCTTTAGTTTCTGCATGCTGGCAATGAGACTGAAACAAATAGAGTCCAAACATTCCACTTCAAGGATATATGATTGTATTTGAAAACCTAAAAGCAAAGTAATCACTGCCTTAAAACTTACTATAAGAAATTCTACAAATCAGAGATTCATTTTAATTTAAGGGAAGTTCACATTGTTTTCTACATTAGTAGAATGTATGTGTTATCTGCACTGTGTATCACAAATTCAGCTGGTTCTTCTCAAGATAATAAAGTGAAATGTATCTCTCCCCATATGTCAGGACGGTGATGAAGACTGGTCTGGAGTCAGTGAAGGCAGCACTGCGGTTGTTCTTTGACAGTGCAGCAGAAGATCTGGAGAAGACGCAGGAGAACCTGAAGCTCGGCCAGTTCACCCACAGCAGAGAGCAGCCGCGAGGGGTCACCCAGATCATCAACTACACCACCTTCGCCCTGCTGCCCATCCTCTCCTCCCTGTTTGAACACATCGGACAGAACTTGTTCGGAGAAGACCTCATATGTGCGTACTGACTTGTGGTACTGTTTGATTCGGGCATTCAAATGTTTTCACCAAGGAGGAAAAAAAATGCATTCCAAATTAGGTAAAAGATTGTATCTGAATCATAATGGCAGATGTCCTTCATGAAATAGAATACTGTTTCACTGATCATTTACAGGACAACAATGTGAATACACTCCATCAAAATGTAAGATGCAAACATTCTTTCCTCTTCCAGTGGATGATGTCCAGGTTTCCTGCTACAGAATCCTCAACAGCCTCTTCTTTCTGGGAACCAACAAAAGCATCTATGTAGAGAGGTACAGTATAGCCCACAGTACTTATGATACAGAAACCTGCTACAGTGTATGTAGGTTTACATGTACTGTGAGGAGCATTTGAATTTACAGAGAATGTCGAATACAACTTTCAATCAGCACAGTTTACTCTGAGTTTTCTTTCTTTCTACATGAGCCATAAAAAATAAGAAATCTGTAAAATAATAAGAAAATACAAAATATATTTATAATATATAACTTGTAAATATATAGAAAAATAACAAAATGACAATTGTATACATTTCAAGTCATTTTTTCCTTTATTTCTGTATGTTTATTTATATATTTTTTTTTATATATTTTGTGTATTATATATCTATTTAGTGATGGTATTTCTGAGAGCTGATCAAAGGCCAACAACACATTTAACACTAAGTTTGAGATCTATGTGCTTTTAGACAAAATTGCTTATTGTTGACATTAAATAATCAATGATTTACGATTTATCAAAGAATGTAATATAGCGATAATGATACTAATGAAAATAATGTAATAATCATCTTTTGATCCTCTCCTCTTCAGACAGCGTCCAGCATTAGGAAAGTGTTTAGCTGCCTTCTCAGCAGCCTTTCCTGTTGCCTTCCTTGAGCCTCACATCAACAAGTTCAACAGCTTCTCCATCTACAACAGCAAAGAAGCTCAAGACAGAGCAGGTTCTAATGAATGTGCTTTTTATTTCAATGTTCATCTGCTCCGTGGATTTACATTTTTACAAATATGAAGGGGTTGAATCCCACCAAGACATATAAGTCCTGAGGTAATTGTATTTTCTGAGAATTACATTCACTCTCAATGCAACCGAGCACATTGTATGTTACCGTGTGACTCTGTAGGGTTACTGTAGGTGCTGAGGTTACAGATCTGTTGCTGTTAGCTTTGACAGTCTGGTCATTGGCCATCCCAGACAGATGGATAACTGTCCTCCTTTCTAACGGAGTCTGAACACAGCACTGGCTGTACAGCTACCAATGACTCAGCAGGTGTTGAAATGGAAGTCCGTGCTAACGTTAGCAGGCGGGCTAACTCGATTTTTCTTACCGAGGCAAAAAAAACAAAACACGGAACAGCATTTATGTGTAATAATAATGATGATTGAGCTATATATTCATGTTTATATTCATCTTTTAAGTGCATTATATTTCTACCTATCAGCTCTAGGTCTTCCAGGGCAGGTGGGGGAGGTTTGTCCTCTGATCCCAAACTTAGAGAAGTGTCTGGAGGAGATCATGGAGTTGGCAGAGTCTGGCATGAGATACACTCAGATGCCCCATGTCATGGAGGTGGGATATATTACTAATTAACATTATTGGGTCTTTGGTACCCATATCCATCTGGATTTATTTTTTCCTCACAGTGCTCTGATTTCTTCTCATTACCAAAATCATCCATGCGAGTTATTAGAAATTCTCTTTCCATTGACACTTTACCCAAGATAATTCTTCAGCAATGCTGGCTGCCCACTGCTACTAGTTTAATGGGTTAAACGCAGATTAATGAAACTCAATATGAGAATATTCATATGTACTCTCTGTATCTACAGCTTGACCTTATGGAGTGGTAGTTAGTGCACACTCAGTACTCCATCGACACAGCCAGAGATTGCTTATTGGAAATTCGAGATGTTAAGCCTCTGTTGATTGAACCCTAGTACTGCTCACTGTATCAGTGCGGGTTCATTGTTCCTAGGGAGTCAGCATCACAGATAACCTGTTATGGTCATATCACACCTCTGCCCCGGTTAAGGAAGCCTAAGAAGGCAAAATTCCTCTTCGAAGTTCTTGTCAACTTTTACAGAGGAGCAATAGAAAGAATCCTGACTGGAAACATTACTGGCACGGGATGTGCACGACCTTCTCCCGTCTCCACCTGAATAGTTCCGTTTACGGCACTGCTGTAGTCTGTCTTGGTAAGGAAGTAAAATAAAAACAAAATGTGAAAATATAGCATGCGTCAGCCACTTGTCAGTGGGGGCGGGGCAACTTGAGGTGGGGGTGCTGTAGCACCACCTTCTGAATTTCCTCAAATGGCCACTTGAGGCTGGCTCTAAGAGTGAGTCAATCCCTGTAGACTCCTGTGTTAAAATGCCGAATTCTACAGCAGGAATATACGGTTACAATACCACTACATCTACATTACCCTCATTCACACAATAAACAACGTTTACTGTTTGCACAGTCGTTTTAAAACACTGGTGTTACATGTTTATATGCATGTAACCCTATATTCCTTGAAAATATAATTAGTTTTTCCTTTCATGTCATTACTTACGTTACTTTTATATAGTTTATTCTATCTTATTGCCTATTTTATTGCTTATATTGTATTATAATTTTTATATTTTGACTGTTTATACATTTTTAACAAAGCATTATGTCAGGATGGGGAAGTGGGTGATCTCTTGATAGGTAAACCTGAAGTATGTATGTTTCCTTTCACTGTAGGTGGTGTTGCCGATGCTGTGCAGCTACATGTCTCACTGGTGGGAACATGGACCAGAGAGCAACCAGGACAAGGCCGACAGCTGCTGCACCTCTGTGACTTCTGAGCACATGAACACTCTGCTGGGAAACATTCTCAAGATCATCTACAACAACCTGGGAATAGATGAAGGGGCCTGGATGAAAAGACTAGCTGGTGAATATGGCAACACACTCTGCATGTATGTGTGTGTGTGTGTGTCTTTAAAGTTGCATCTCTGTGACTGCTCCACAGTATCTCTCTCTATCTCTCTCTTTCACTCTCACTTATGTCCCTCCAAATATGTTTACCATGAAATGTGCTTCACAAATAGCGATGACTTCATGAATTACAATGTTATGTATAGACCTTGTCCCACTGTGCTCAGGCTATCCTTAGCCCTGGGCTCAGAGAGTGTGCAATGTGAAAAGCCCAACAGTAAGGGTTCTCTATTCTAGTAATATGCAATTTTAAATTCACGGTTTTGTTTCACTATGTTTGTTTGTCTTGTTTTAAATACAATTCAAGGTGGGTTTACAAGGTTCTAAAAACATACGCACACACACAGACACACACTGCCACTGAATCGAACTAAACACAATGAACGCCAACTAAACAACGAAGCTAAAAGCAAAATCTTTGTCCGATGCTCAATCGTTAAACCCCATCTCTGTCCCTGCTTTAGTCTTCTCTCAGCCAATCATCAGCAAGGCCAAAACCCAGCTGCTCAAGACCCACTTCCTGCCTTTGATGGAGAAACTCAAAAAAGTAAGTCTCGTCATTTCATCATGTAATATAGATTGTGCTGTAGTTCATTCGAATATTGGTGGACATTCAGCACACACATATAGCACTTACAGTTTGACTGTTGACTATCCCTCCAAAATTAAAATAAAAAAAATAGACATGTAACACGGCCCTAAGCTATCAGACGTTTGCAAGCAACGGGTTGAATACTTTGACTGTAAGTTTGTAAGTCTAGTGCGGCGTTTTTGCAAAGTAGGATTATAGTACAACTAGTACTAGTACTACTATAGTACAACTAGTACTAAGATCACAATGTAATTAGTGTTCAAATGAAGAGAAAGCGGTGTGTTGCTGTGTCCTGCAGAAGGCAGCAGTTGTGCTGATGGATGAGGAACACAGCAAGGCAGAGGGGAGGGGAGAGATGTCAGAGACGGAGCTTCTCATCATGGACCAGTTCACCATACTGGTCCGAGACCTGTATGCCTTCTACCCTCTCCTCATACGATTTGTTGACTACAACAGGTACAGTGCGCTGATTTGATGGTTCCGACGCTTCTCTACTTAAACCTGAGCATTTCTTCTGAAACAGCAAATATGACCAACATCACTTTCAGGTGTGAAATTACAACTATGTGATCCTTGCCTCTATGCTTATCCTGCAGATGCTGAATAACTTAAAGTAAGCTGCATATGGGCTGTATTCTGGAGAAAGGATGACGTTTATGGACATCGATAGTTGGTGTCTACAACATAAGTGCTTTGTTATGCTTAAGTCCCTTTAAGCATAACAAAGCACTTTGTGGAGTTTTCTTGGAAATGAACAGAAGTTTACATTCAGTGTTACTCACCACACCACATTGTGCTCATATCCTTGAGCTCTAACAAACATGCATTTCCATCCTTGTTGCTACAAAGATCTTTTAACTGGTTATGAAACAGTCTCAATGTAATACTTATATGACCTAATTAAGCAAGTGTAAGCATACAGACCCAGATCCGGCTCCTCCTCCGGTCTGCTGGTCCAGATGGGACTGTCCAAATGCAAGGTGGTGGTCGGGAGGATCTTTCACATAGTCCAGGACGACCTGCACATAGACTTTGGAAAGAAGTTCCACCGTGGGTGCTGGCGCACCGACAGAAGCTGCAGCGGGGTCCGTCTGCGGCTGCAGAACCTGGAGTTTACCACCCTGGGGGCCAACACCCACTTCTGTAGGTCCCAGGACGAATTGCTGAGCGCGCTGGAGGGAACGGAGGAACGGAAGAACCAGAAGCAGGATTGAGCGGGGAAGAACTTCAGACCCTGCTGCAGTAAAATGAGACGTTTTCTAAAGGGAGTCTGGCGGCTGCATATCTTTACAACACAAGGCGGTGGTGCTCATGGAAACACTACCGCTTTTGTCCACAGGGGCCGCCAAAGTCCACACAAAATGAAAGCTCCTTGTAGTAACTTTAAATATTTTAAGTCCTGCATTGTTTACATGTGTACTAGCTTGCAGTCTTCTTCTTCCCTGACTTTGTTGGCACATTGCTGCATATCTTGGCATGTTACCACCTCCTCCATAGCGCTACTAGAGGTCTATAACTCCACAGCAAACCTTTAAGTAGTGCCACTATCACTAAACTGCCTTGGTATACTGACAGGGCCAGATGGCTGAAAGAGTCCAACCCAGGGGCTGAAGAGCTGTTCCGCATGGTGGCAGAGGTTTTCATCTTCTGGGCCAAGTCTCATGTAAGCAAATCACCACATTACATGCTGCTGATTTAAAATGTCACAGTGAGAGGTAGTCAAGGGAGCGCTACACAAGATCTAATGATAGACTGAATGACAGAGCACATCGTCATTTGTACCAGGTTCCTAAAACCCACGTATTGGTATTTCAGATAAATAATACTGAATCAAATGACTCCCTGGACTGGTCCAGTCTGCAGCTCCATGGACCTATTGGATAAATGTGGAACTGCAGACCACACATTCTCCCTAGGCTCAGAAAAACATAACCTCAAATCTCAATTTGAGTCATGAATTATAAATATCAGTATCAAGAGTCTACAGCCGAGCTCACAGCTCTGACAATGCTAAGATGCTGATGTTTAGCAGATACAATGTTTACCAATGTCTTAGTCTAGATGTTTGCATGCTAACATTTGCTATTTAGCACTAAACATTAAGTAGAGCTGAGGTTGATTGTAAAGTCATTTGTTTTGCAGCATTTGTTCATAAACTAAAGTATAGAACTAATAACATTTTTTACCTGATAACGGCGTTAGATAAAAAGTCAGTAGGGTTTATCCTCTCATGGTCATCAATGTCTCCAAAATATAAAGGCAATCCGTTTCAGTCTTGACCAAAGTGGTTGCCCAGCCAACCGACAGACTGTCACACATTACCATCACTGAAAACCACCAAGAGTTGCGTAAAGACATATTTATGTCATTTATTTGCTGGCCACAATATGAAGCCCCAGAAATGTTTTACACATGCCAAAAATGGCAGCCTATTGGAATGTAGTGTACATTTTGTTATGAAATATTTAGGCCAGCAGTCACTGAACCATCACAGTGTATTTACATACCTGACCCTGTTATTAACCCAAGCTGTCTGAAGCTATTACCGCATCAGACGGCACGACATTGTGACCGCGGAGTGACGAATGGTGTCATCTATCTGCAGAACTTCAAGAGAGAAGAGCAGAACTTTGTGGTCCAGAATGAAATCAACAACATGTCCTTCCTCATCACTGACACCAAGTGTAAGATGTCAAAGGTATGGACACATGGACATCAGAAGTGTCCTGTGGATTGCTTGTTACGTGTGCGTTAATGCACAATGAATTATAAAGAATAACATAACACACACTTAATATACCTGTCTGTGCATTTCTCTGCCTCAGGGTATAGTTTCAGACCAGGAGAGGAAGAAGATGAAGAGGAAGGGAGATCGATACACGATGCAAACGAGTCTTATCGTTGCTACCCTGAAGCGCCTGCTTCCTGTTGGACTCAACATCTGTGCCCCCGGAGAACAAGAGCTCATTGCACTGGCGAAGAACCGCTTCACCCAGGTAGGAAAACACTGTCTACTAGCTTATGAGAAGTAGGAGACACTTCCATACTACTACATAGACTGTATATTGTGGTGGAAAATTTCTAGGTTAATCGGGAGAAGAGAGTTTTTGTTCACAAATCAATAATGAAGTCATCAGAAGATTCAAAGTTGTCTTTTTCCGTTTATTCTCTTGCAAGAGGGAAGAAAGCACAGCAACTACGTATTCAGTAGACTGTGTGAATGCTTCGACAAAGTGCAACATTCAACATCATTTATGCATACAAAAGGTTCACGCCTTTACAACTTCAGATAATGTGTTAAAAGGGGAGTATGGGTATTTCAGACACAGGCTGTTTCTGCCAGGACATTCAGTTCCGGTTTCAAGGTCTGTCTCAATCTTTGTCTTGCAGACAAAGACAACAGTGTCTCTTCACTTCTCATCCTTGTGGGATGAGATAACGGGACACCTGGATACAAAACTAATTAAAATCATCTGCAGAACTGCTGTTCTGTCTCTGTCTGTGTTCATCACTTTCAGTTGTACATTCTTTAAAACTTCACATGATACGATAACATATTTTCCCATTACAATACAACAACCCTCACCTGGATTTCAGGTCAAACGGTCGCTTCAATTTTCAAGTTGCATCATATGCCAACACAAATGAGTTGATATAAGATAACAATATATTAATTCCTTTTTCAGTTTCAGTAGTTTTTGGCAGTAAATATTGGTAAGCCTATGGAAAATCTCCATTAACACAATAACTCTTCCAGTATTGAAGAGAGCAGATCACTTGTTTTTAGCTTCGGTTCACTAGTGCTTTCATATACTGAGCAGTATAAATATCTTGGCACGATGCTCAAAATGAAATTTAAAGAAGCTGTCAGTATTGTAGCTCAGTCAGCGGGTAGAGCACTGGAATCTCTGTACGTGTATTCCATACGTACACACAACTATGTAACTCATGTGTATGTCCTGTGTCTGACTATGTTTCTGGTGACCATACGAGTTGTAACACTGTGCATCACAGAGTTATTCAATCCTTCACAAATTTACTTCACAAGTGTCAAATGCTTTGATGCTGGAATAGACTTGTCTGATCAGAGAGCAACTAAAAAGTGATTTAATTGGGACATTTTGCATGGCTATCCCCTGGCTAAGGATTTGAAATCTCTGTTTCAAATCGACGATTTGTCATTCCAGATTCGGACCAAATGTATTGTCTTTTGTTTTATTGTCCTATCTACGAGGACATAACGGATGTACTCGATAGTAAAATTACCTCAATTTATGTTGATTTCTTTTGGCTGGCTGACTATAAAAAACTTGAGTTGTGCTTCAGGAAACAAACCTTTTTTGTAGCAGATTTTATTTGCCAAACCTGGGAGGGAAGGCCGAATATTTAGTTTGGTAATTGAATGAAGTGTTCCACCACTGCCGCTGTATCTTTAATGTCTCATAAACCCAGGAGGATTTGGCATTTTATGCACATAAAGAAATCAATCAATCAATCTGAGCCTACCAGAAATGGACATGAACCTATCATATTGCCACTAATTGTAAATGACTTGGCCTGCTGATCATTATTTGTATGCAACAGCCGACATACTGTAGGTTGTCTTGCTGAGAGAGAGGTCCACGTTTCTACGTGACGAGATTATTCTTTTTCTCTTTTTATTCATCGATCATTATGAGGCAGTTGTGTGTCTCTCTCCCTCGCTCTATCTACTGTGACAAACTCTCTGAACCTTCAGTTCATTTAATCCCTGCATCAATCTGACGGCAGCAGGACACATATGCTGATAAATCTGCAGCCTCTGATCCGAGAAGTGACACATCAGAGCGCAGTGCCGTTTCCGACGGCCGTCCACTGTGTTTAAATCATGTTCAAATGACAGAATTATACACAGCTCTATGCACATCACACTGGTCGCTTACAATGCTGCTTTTATAGAAATCCCTCAATGACTTAGCCCCAAAATATTTGTCCTGCATGCATAGAAGTTATTTCCAATTCCTGTAGCACTTTAAATATCTGTAAAGCAATTGTATATAAATTGTGCTGACACATCTGTTATTAAATGGTTACCGTTGTCTGATGCATTCACTCTGTTCACAGAAAGATACAGAGGGTGAGGTTCGAGAGGTCATCAGGAACAATCTCCATTTACAAGGAAAGGTAAGAATACTTTGAGCTGGTATTTAACAGAGTCACGGTACTGCAAGAATATTTGGGATAAGCTGAACATGACGTCATGCTTTATATTCAGGCAACAGAGAAGTGTATACGGTTTGTAGGGGATAGTCTGAATGGCTCAAATCCACCGCATACAACTGACCTGAGTGCTCATAGAAGTGAGCAGCTAAGTTATAATTGTGAACTAAAACTGAAATTAAAGTAAGCTGGGAAAAATATTATTGAAACTCAAACTAAATAAAAAGATGTCCTTTAATAAAAACTAAAATTATACTGAAACCATATTGCCTGGTAAAAAAACGAATAAAAGCACGATACAAATAAACCTTCATTCATCTCAGTTTTATGTCACTCCCAAAAAAGGAGACGGCATGAATTTCTGTAAACTCTCGTGACGTTGAACCACAGAAACAAAACCGAACTGAGACTCCAGAAGATGTCGCATCTACGCAATTAATCCCTATCGTTCTTCACATGCAGTCTGAGTACAAGCCCGAGCACAGTTCCACCGTGTCTGTCACTGACAGACACGGTGTAATTGGAGCTTCCATAGTTGGTCACGTAGAGGCGATTCACATAGTGAAACACCAAGCGACGTGAGAAAGAGAGCTGAAACTCAACTGAAATGACATAGAAAAGTCAAAACTTGAATCAAATTTTTAAAAATTCCAAACACCTTGGTGTGCTGGACCCATGTCCTCATATTTGTGAGCTGTATGTGTGTTCCTTGTACAGCTGGAGGACCCAGCTATTCGTTGGCAGATGGCTCTATACAGAGACCTCCCTAATCACTACGAGGACACCTCGGACCCAGAGAAGACTGTGGAGAGAGTCCTGGAGATCGCTCATGTCCTCTTCCACTTAGACCAGGTGTGTAAGTGGGTGTGTGTTGTTGATGACACAGAGCCGACAATATCTGAAATATTGCATTTCAGTAGTTTAGAGAGTGCAGGCTATGGAACTATCCATATGATATCCACAGCTCTATATAATCATATTTGGGTTGATGTACAGTATCTTTGTGCTCTTCCATGAAGAGAAGCTGTCCTGCTGTCTTAGAAGAGCTGTTGTGATTGGCCATTGTTAAAACTGCAAAAATAGACACAAGCATGTCTGTTGTTTGAAGACAATGATGTACTGATTGAATGCACTTCTCTGAGCAGTTGTTGGATTATGGCGTTATGGCTTCCAGACGCCAGAGTCGGGCGTACTGAGTGGTTCAGTTTGTGTGTTTAGGTTGAACATCCTCAGCGCAGCAAGAAGGCCGTGTGGCACAAGCTGCTGTCCAAACAGAGGAAGAGAGCAGTGGTTGCTTGCTTCAGGATGGCACCGCTCTATAACTTGCCCAGGTACGTTATGTGTGTGTGTGTACAGTACATCTGGCGTATCTTGTTGGAAAGTTTTTATTCCTACTGTGTCTCCCCCAAACTAGGCACCGGGCTGTCAACTTGTTCCTGCAGGGCTACGAGAAGTCCTGGATCGAGGCAGAGGAACACTACTTTGAAGATAAACTCATAGAGGACCTCGCTGTGAGTTCATGAATGTAAAACAGATGGAATTATACTCTTGATTAGGGGAACGCAACCCAGATTAAGAGTTTAATTATGTTGTGTCCATGGCGGAGGGAAGTTCAAGCAGTATTAGAGAACATGAGCTACTTTCTCTCAAAGCCGGACACCAGAGAAGGAAACATAAATGACGATGATGTCAACGAGGATAAAGTGTGGAGCTGCTCCATAGATAATGAATGGGAGACTGTATTTCTTTTCCTTTTCTGCACCCAAATAAGCTTTATCTATTGAAGTGTTCTCTGTTGTGAAACAAAAAATGTACCCAAATACCCAGGGTTCACTCAGTGTCATCTAGAACATCTTTCCCAATTCCCAAAGTCCCGCCCCCCTTAGTTACTGTTGCTAGGTCCTACAAGCTTGACAAAACGAAACATGGCGTCGCTGGTAGATGCAATATAGCTTCAGGAAGCCGACAGCAAGGACTCAAGTATGAGGGTATATTTACGATGATAAACTTGTTTATCAATATTGTTGGACTGTCTTATGCTGCGTTCACACCAAACGCGGCACGAATTAATCGCGCGAGTAGATTACATTTTCCAACTTCTGCGAAATATTCGCGTTACGCCCCGGCGTGATAGCCCCTATCAGCGTTGAGTTGCTCCCCCTGTCATCAGTGACGTCCTGCCGTTGTTGAATCAGGAAATAAATACTGTAGCCGTCTGTGTTCACCCAGAGCTCTACGATACCTCATATCAGAATCAGAATCAGAACCGTTTATTGCCATGTATGTTGAACATACAAGGAATTTGGCGTGACGGGAGGTGCAAACATTTAACAATCAACAACAATCAGTGCAAGTAGAAACATATTAAAATGTACAAGAGATATGAAATATGAAATAAAGTAAGATATAAAATAATGAAAAATAAAATAAAGATGAAATATAAAATAAAGTGAAATCTAAAATAAAGTGCACAAACGAACAGATAACAGGACTATAAACAACGAACAGACGACAGGACTATAAACAAGTGTGATGTAAGTGTAGTGTAAAGTGTCGAGTGTAATAGAAGGGATGCAGGGGAGTGACCGGTGGGAATTTGTCCTGGGATGACAGAGTCAGTGGGGGACCCGGGCTCTGTTAATGAGCCCGACTGCGGACGGGAAGAAGCTGTTCGTGTGGCATGAGGTCTTGGTCCTGATGGACCTCAGCCTCCTACCAGATGGAAGTGGCACAAACAGTTTTTGTCCAGGGTGAGAGGGGTCGGCTACAATCTTCCTTGCTCGCTTCATGGACCTTGAAGCGAACAAGTCCTGGAGGGACAGCAGATTGCAGCCAATCACCCTCTCAGCAGAGAGAATGATCAGCTGCAGCCTGCCCTTGTCCTTGGCAGTGGCTGCAGCATACCAGACTGTGATGGAGGAGCAGAGGATGGACTCAATGATGGCTGTGTAGAAATGCACCATCATTGTCTTTGGCAGGTTGAGGTTCTTCAGCTGCCTCAGGAAGTACATCCTCTGCTGAGCCTTTTTAGTGATGGAGCTGATGTTCAGCTCCCACTTGAGGTCCTGGGATATGATGGAGCCCAGGAAGCGGAAGGACTCCACCGCGTCGACGGGAGAGTCACACAGGGTGATAGGGGCTGGTGGGGCTGCATTCTTCCGGAAATCCACAACCATCTCCACTGTCTTTCGAGCGTTGAGCTCCAAGTTGTTCAGACCGCACCAGGTCACCAGATCAGGTCAGTCTCCCACCTGTAGGCGGACTCATCCCCACCAGAGATGAGTCCAATGAGGGTGGTGTCATCCGCGAACTTCAGGAGCTTGACGGACTGGTGACTGGAGGTGCAGCTGTTGGTGTACAGGGAGAAGAGCAGAGGGGAAAGAACGCAGCCTTGGGGGGAACCGGTGCTGATGGTCCGGGAGGCTGAGACGTGTTTTCCCAGCTTGACGTGCTGCTTCCTGTCAGACAGGAAGTCTGTGATCCACTTGCAGGTGGAGTCGGGCACGTGCAGCTGGGAGAGCTTGTCCTGCAGCAAAGATGGGATGATGGTGTTAAAGGCAGAGCTGAAGTCCACAAACAGGATCCTGGCGTAGGTTCCTGGGGAGTCCAGATGCTGGAGGATGAAATGAAGGGCCAAGTTAACTGCGTCGTCAACAGACCTGTTGGCTCTGTAGGCGAACTGCAGGGGGTCCAGGAGTGGGTCTTAAGGTGAGACAGGACAAGGCGCTCAAAAGACTTCATGACCACAGAGGTCAGGGCGACGGGCCTGTAGTCATTAAGTCCTGTGATCCTTGTTTTTTTGGGGACGGGGATGATGGTGGAGACCTTGAAGCAGGCTGGTATGTGGCATGTCTCCAGGGAGGTGTTGAATATGTCTGTAAACACCGGAGACAGCTGATCGGCACAATGCTTCAGGGTGGAGGGGGAGACAGAGTCTGGGCCAGCTGCTTTGCGGGAGTTTTGTTTTTTAAAGAGCCTGTTGACGTCACTCTCCAGGATAGAGAAAGTCATCACTGTGGAGGGGGGTGGGGGGGACACTGTGATGGGTGATACAGAGGCGTGGACCCCTGCTGGGATGGGGGAGGGGGACCTGGTGGTCTGGGGCTGGTTGATGGAGCTGTGGGGGATGGAGTCAGGGCTGTCCCATTGTCCATCAAAGCGACAGTAGAGCTCGTTCAGCTTGTCTGCCAGGCGGAGGTCGTTCATGGAGTGGGGGGTTTTAGGCTTGTAATTGGTGATCTGTCTAACGCCTCTCCAGACAGAAGCAGAGTCACTTGCTGAGAGCTGGTGTTGCAGTTTCTCAGAGTACAGATGTTTAGCATCTCTCACCGCCTTACTAAACCTGTATTTTGACTCTTTATATTTGTCCCCACTCCTAAAAGCCTGATACTTTTGCAGTCTTAGCTTTCTGAGTTCCGCTGTAAACCAGGGTTTGTCGTTATTGTAACTCACCCTGGTGCTTGATGGAACACAGCTGTCCTCACAGAAGCTGATATACAGTATGAAGTCACAGCCTCTGTGTACTCATCCAGACTGTTGGTAGCAGTCCTGAATACATCCCAGTCTGTGCAGTCGAAGCACGCCCGAAGATCCTCCATAGCTTCACTGGTCCACTTCTTGAATTTCCTCACCACAGGTTTACAGAGCTTGAGTTTCTGCCTGTATGAAGGAATCAGATGGACCATGACGTGGTCAGAGAGACCCAGTGCAGCACGAGGGACGGCGTGATAGGCCCTGCTGATTGTGGTGTAACAGTGGTCCAGAATGTTCTCCTCTCTGGTTGAGCATTTAATAAACTGTCTGTATTTGGGGAGTTCATGGCTGAGGTTTCCTTTGTTAAAGTCACCAAGGACAATAACTAGAGAGTCCGGGTAGGTCTGCTCCACACACAGTATCTGTTCGGCGAGTGTCCGCTGTGCCTCCTGCACATTGCCCTGCGGCGGCATGTAAACACCGACCAGTATAAATGAAGCAAACTCACGGGGGGAGTAAAAGGGTTTGCAGTTAATGATAAAATATTCCAGATCAGGAGAACAGTGCTGGAGAATCACTGTCACATCGTTGCACCAGCCACTGTTGGAGTAGAAACAGATTCCTCCACCCTTCGATTTGCCGGAGAGCTCCGTATCGTGATCCGCTCTGAACAGCTGGTAGCCAGCCAGCTGGAGCGCAGAGTCCGGAATCGATCCACAGAGCCAGGTCTCAGTGAAGCACAAAACGGAGGATGAAGAAAAGTCTCTGTCTCTCCTCACCAGTAGCTGAAGTTCATCCAGTTTGTTGCACACTGAGCGGACGTTTGAGAGAAATATGCCCGGCAGTGGTGTGCGGAATCCACGTGTGCGAAGACGCACGAGCACGCCGGCCCGTTTCCCTCTCCTACGTCGTCTCACTGCATGGGCTAAGGCGAGCGCACCTTTGACTAGAATGTCCAGTAATTTCACAGAAGTTAGCAGAAAAGTTGGGACTAAGTCCGCTGTAGTTGTTCCCCTGATGTTTATGAGCTCATCTCTGGTGAAAGAGCTCCGGGTATCGCAGCATAAAACTGAATTAACGACGAAAACGACACAAAACAATGCGCACCAACACGTCGAGGCAGCCGTCCGCGGCGCCATCTTGATGAGTAGTGCTATATCAATAGAGACCAAACTATGTGTATAAATGTGTGTGTAAACCATATGGTACAAACAATGAATAGACGCTGCCGTATTTACGTCTACATGACGTTAGTCTGAGTGTTGGTGGAGCTGCTACTATGTTAGCATAGCCTAGCACCGATCCATCCGAGCTCCATTGAGAAGACAAGTAGCCTACAAATCGGCATCATTACGTAGTTATTTCAGAGTCCCTTTTTGTCGGTTTATTGCCGTTAAATCACAGCCAGATCAGTTTATTTAGTGTTCATACAGCTGTAGTAAACAGCGACCTGTGGCTTGCTAGACACAGTGAACACAGCTCGATAAAATCCACGGAGCTCCTCTGGACTATGTTATGAACCAGACATGACGGCGTTTAGTTTCCCGGGATATTTGTGACTTCCACAACACCTACTAAGCAGAAATAGGGGTTATTTTTTTCATGGTTAATGGCGGACAGTTGAACGGCTTTCAGGGCGATAAGCCGCGCCCCCTCTCCGGCGCGTCCAGCGCGATTCGCGCGATTCACACGAATGAACACTGGTCCCCGGCATTTTGACTGGTGGCGCGATTGACGCGAATATGCGGCGCGATGAATTCGCGCTGCGTATTTGGTGTGAACACGTGTTTGGTGTGAACACGGCATTAGGCCACATATGAATATTGAAAATGGGCTATTGTTTAGTTTTCTTCCAGTGTGCATCATTGAGTCTCCTGTGAAAGGAAATGTATGTTTATGTTTTAGAAACCAGGTGACAAAGAGCCATTGGAGGAAGAGGAGGGGGTGAAACACATCGATCCACTTCATCAGCTCATTCAACTGTTCAGCAGAACAGCCCTCACAGAGAAGTGGTGGGTTCTGTATGTATACTGTATGTAAGATACAAGGCTCCACCCATTGTTTCTGCTCTGACATAAGTCATAGTTCATATTCTAGCAAACTGCATTTTCACACGTCTAGTAAAACAAGGGCTGTCTTCTGTCTTGCTAGTCATACTAAACATTTACTGCTGTCGCTAATGTGTGTGTGTGTGTGTGTGTGTGTGTGTGTTTCAGTAAACTGGATGAGGATATTCTCTACATGGCTTATGCTGACATCATGGCTAAGGTACCAGTGACGATGACGATGATGATGATTCCTCCTTTTGCAACATGTCTCTGCTGTCGACATGTAACTCTCATTTTGTATCACTCTTCGCTCCCTCAGAGTTGCCATGATGAAGAAGATGAGGATGGAGAGGAAGTAAAGAGTTTTGAGGTAGGCCATCAGTCACTCACTTCCGCCTACCCGTCGTCCATGACGGTCTCGGCTGTAAACGAGCATGCTGCTGACGTGTGTGTGGTTTTGTTACATGAATAGGAGAAGGAGATGGAGAAGCAGAAGCTGTTGTACCAGCAGGCTCGGCTGCATGACCGCGGAGCTGCTGAGATGGTGCTGCAAACCATCAGTGCTAGCAAAGGTAGGTTTTACGCACTCATCCCCCACCCTGCCTCCCACTGTAACTACTGTTCTATTACACTACTAGTTAGTAAAATGTGCCATATTGTCACTTTCAGGGCTCAGGTTTATGCGTGTAGGTGTAAGCTTAAGTCAGCAAACATGTTTTATTTTTCAAAGCTGGAGTAAGAAGGAGCTCACTTGCTTGTTGACAGCACTCTAAAGCCTATTTGAAAGTGCACAAATTTCACAGTCGGCAAGCATTCGTTTACATCTATTGACTATACAAACTTTGATTAGACAACTTGAGCAAACATGGTTCTACAGGATATTAATGATTCACTGAATGGTCCACAACACATTTGAACTGAAATGTTATTGAAGAATATAGAGTGACTTTATTGCTGCATGTTTAAGTCTTCTCTGCATGAGAGTGGGAGCTAAGTTAGTAAATGTAAAAGTGCATTGATTGTTTGTTGGGTGCGCCCTGGTAGATAAAGTTGTGTGTCTATGTGTGGTTCCTCTTCACAAGGTGAGATGGGTCCCATGGTGGCCTCTACTCTGAAGCTGGGCATAGCTATTCTCAATGGAGGAAACTCTACTGTACAGCAGGTATTTAAGCGTTCCTTAAGACCACAGTTGTATAGTTATTCATACCATATCGTGTCCACCTCCTGTAGTTGTTTCAAAGCAGAATTTGGTCTAAAATAGAACTCAGCTGTCCCATTGTCCTGTCTCTTTGACAGAAAATGTTGGATTATCTGAAAGACAAAAAGGACGTGGGCTTTTTTCAGAGTCTGGCTGGTCTGATGCAGTCATGCAGGTAACTCTACAAACTCTTCCTGTTTTCAAGACTGAAACATTTCATTACTTTCAATGTATCCACACCACAGGCGGGTGGGTTAATGGGTTCTGACTGTGCTTTTGACAACAAGTTCACTCAAAGAGCAGTCAAGTATGTTTAGAATTTTGAGAATTGTCTGTCTTTAAAAAGGCGGCTACTGACAAGTGACTGAATAAGACTACTAACCGTCATCATGCCAGCTATTCCGCCTTATTGTGTTTGTGCTCACGCTCATGTGACCGTTGTGTAGTTTGTTTATAGCCTAGCATTGGCTTTTTTTTTGTGGACATGTCAGTATCATGAATGTTTGTTTGCCGCCAGATTATTTTTGGCAATAATCCAAAAAGTCCCATTGGCTTTTTATTGAGGGAACCAGAGCGATGCTAACTTTGGGGTTAGCCTACAAAAATAGGTCATCCCTGCAGCAGGCGTGAACAAAGCCGCTCTCTTCACACTCAATGGGACGTTACACAGACTGGCAGGGTAAAGTCCGTTCAATGTAAGCAATGGGTACAGTGCAATCAGGAACTGCTAATAGCTTCAACATCTGTTTATAACAACGGGGCTCAAGGTGTGCATCTCCCAATGCATTGTGGGAACTGTAGTTACAAAACGTAGAGCATGATTATCCTCCCAAATAGAAGTAGAAGCATCAGAATTCCCTTCAGCAATCAATGTTGGAACACACTTATGATCTTACAGTGTTGGGTCTTTCACACTCCCTGACTATTTTGGTGCAATTAAAGCGTAACCATTCCTTTTATTGGTAAAGGTAATGTTTCAGCCGCTAGAATACTTTATATTTTATGAAATATGGTGACAACTTTGGTAGTCATAGTTGGATAATGGTGTTTAATTCTAGCCAATGTAAAAGGCAGGGTTGGTAATCTTTTAAAACATTTCTGGTATTTTTGTTAAAATTCTCATTACAGCCAAATCAAAATGCTTTGACAAAAAAAAAATTCTGTTATCTGTGGCTGTCAAAGGACTCTAATAAGACCATCCAATCATTTTATTTTGCCTGAATGTAATGATTGGACGGCTACCTGCTACCTGATCTACCTGTTTGCAATCTGGCCGTGCACTCATTGTTCGTTACCGGAGTCTTGACAGCTGTGAGTACTGACAAGGGCCATGTTTGTAGTTAAAGTTTATTATGACAAGTTTATGTTCATAATGAACATTTTGTTGGATTAGATTTGGAAGGAGGCCTGCATGGAAGGGCTGTCAGTGTTGCACACTTGGCGACTTTCTCTGTACATGTAGCAACTTTGGGAGCTAGTACTGCTAGCTACTTTAATTGAAAAAGTGTTGGCAACACTGAAATGGGTTTTTGGTTGAATGATTTTTAAAATCTAGCATACTCTTATTGGTTTCTCAAGATTACCAACGCTAGCTTTAAGTCTCTCCATTCACATACATCAGTCCAGTGAGACGCTACATGTGAATAGGGTAAACATTTTGACTAAAAGATATCACCAAACACTTGTAACAATTCACCTAATTATATTAACCTAAACAGGGAAAGGTACAAACGCTAAAATTAAAGGACACTGGCGGATCTGAATTGGTAGGTATACAGACACTCCATCTGACTGCATAACAGTTGGAGGTACAAAAACACGCTGAAAGGTCTTCTCTATTCGATACAATGATGGACCACCTTAGACACAAAAGAAACCACACATGTCAGTTAAATATAACACCGTATATTAAAAAGCAAACTCCTACGGCATACGGGTTGCAGCACACAAAACAAAAACCGTGACGCTACCGCTCTACTCCGGCATAATAAATTAAACATTTGCAAAATATCACTCAAACCCCGAGTCCCATCAGTTACAAAAGTTCCTTAAAGTAATGCAAAACAGTCTGATGACAAACAAACAAATCCCCAAAACAAAGTCAACAACAGACATGGAAGCGTGGCGAGAAGCCGGCGGTTCCTTTGTCCCCACAACTCACGCAACCCCACCACCGCCCATCTAGCTGGTGGTCCTCCGTGCCGTTTCCATTGAAGTCTTGAGCTTAGTAATCCATTACTGAAGTAACTAGCGGTGTCCCACAGGGTTCCGTCCTGGGCCCGCTACTGTTCATCCTCTTTGTCAGTGACATTCCCAGTCTCCTCAGTAGCTTCATATCCATGTTCGCCGACGATACAAAAATCTACCAAGCCATATTGGACACCCACAAACATCAACACACAAGTCTTCAAACTGATCTAGATCAACTCCAGGCCTGGTCAGTTCTGATGCAAATGCGCTTCCACCCCGAGAAAAGTCTTGCACCTCGGACACAACAACCCCATTCTGACCTACACAATGATCAGTGCAGACGGAGTTACACATACCCTCGAATCAACAGAAGCAGAGAAATATCTTGGTGTAGTGATCGACCATAAACTGAGCTTCCAAAAACACATTCAAACTCAAGTGAGCAAGGCCAACCGCACACTGGTGCTATCAAACACACCTTTAAAGCAATGGTCAAGACATCATTTTTACACCTCTACAAGGGACTCGTCCGCCCTCATCTGGAGTACGCTTCAGCCATATGGTCAACTAAATTCAAACGGGAGAAGGATGCAATTGAACAAGTCCAGCGTCGGGCCATGAGACTGGTGCAAGGCACTTCCAATAAATCCTACCCAGAGCGACTAGTACACCTAGGCCTACCCACACTGGAATACCGCCGACAACGAACAGAGATAATCCAGTGTTTAAAATCCTACAGGGCTACAACAGCGTTAAATGCAACAGACCCTGCTCCACTTGCGGAAATTCCATGCTACGGCCATCACTATCAACTACAACCCGAGGCCACAGTCAGAAACTACAAATACAACATCAAACTGGCATCAGGGCAAATTTTTTCACAGCCAGAATCAGCATGGCATGGAATACCTTAAGGCAGGACACAGTCGACAGCCCTTCCTTAAATACATTTAAGTTGCGAGCAGCAGATTGGAAGCAGCATCCTCACTTACACTATTACACCTTCTCCTAATAAACGCTGATTCCCCGACTCCCACGTATAGTCTAACAGATATTCAATCATGACTCATCTGAAGAGGATTGATTTAAAAACTTGGCACCGGTCTCATTACCCTAATCGGGTACCTATTGACCGTACTAAAGATTGTTATTAAACTCTTGCTTCGGATCCTTTTTGCCGATCAATCGCTGGCAAAACGTGCTCTCCGAGTCCACCAAACGTCACTTGCTTCCCTCTGTTTGCGCGCACCATCTCCTCTCGCGTCACTTCCCCCCTGTCACAATCTATACACGCCAGGTAAACATCAAATAATAACAATAACATACCCTAATCCTATCCTGTGTAATAATTACAGGCAACTAATAACATTCCTAAATACAGTACTTTATATAGGTGAAGGAAAATAACCCACAGGTTCCCCATTCACCATTGCTGTACACACATGAAGACTTCGGCGACACACTTCCACACTTGATTACTTTCTGCAATTATTTTTTGTATGTCAAGTCTTCTGAAATAATTAAGACATGTTTAAATATGCAAATGATGCATTATCTTAATGAATAGGTGCACATTTGCATACATTTCCAGAACAGAAATCTGATTATTGGATAAACAAATTCAAACTATTGTTTCATTTTGTTTAAATATTAGAGTCAAAGGTTTTTACAGATGGAAACTTCGATATCTCTTTGTATCACTTCATAAATCAGAAAATAGTTATAAGTTTTTAGGAATAACATGTTGTATAAATCAGGCTCTGAATGATATATGTACAAACCTTCAGAATATAGAGAGGAATGAAATGGTAAAGTTTGATGTATGAAAGAGCTGCTGAAATGGAGATTTCTGGATCAGTCTGAGAACAAACTCATTTAGATAAAATGGCCTTAAAGAGATGTTTAGTTCAATGACAAAGACACTACAGTTGATGACTGACATTAAGACAGTTATTTTTTTGTATGACAAGTTTTCAGATTTTTTGTTTAAATATGGAAGTTAGGTATTATCTAATGGTAACTTTTGGTGAATTTAGGAGAAATCTACAGATGCAAATAAACAAAGATACACACCAGAATGTGTATTTGTGATGTTTTCTTGTTATGTTATAAAAGCACAGTGGTGGGCCATCAGGGCCTGCAAAGCCTTCTCTGCTGGCCTAAACAGAATCACAAAGTTATAGCTATTTTATAATTTAATATTTTTTCTTAAATACACTACATGTATTGTAATTTGTTTTCCCATTGTCTTATTTTCTCATTGCACAGCTCCTGTCTTCCTCAGTTGCTCTGCTTCCAGTGCAGCTTGTTTTAAGTAGAGCTTTTATCCAATCAGATTTCACCTCTGTGTCTCTAGGTAAGAAGAGAGGCAGAGGCCTGCAGACTCACAAGTGCATCCATGTGCAGTTTAAGTGAATGGGGACGATATTGTTGATTGTCATAGTGTTCAACCAATCAGATCTTTAGTTTGACATGTTGGGCGTATTCTTTGACGTGTCAGAGCCTGCTAGCTGGACTACAAGTACGTCAGCATTACTGCAGCTCAGTTTCCATGTGCAGCTCTGCAGTGAGGTACAGCGTGTGCTGTGATTGGTCAGTGGGCGAGCACGTGATTATCGTGAAACGATCACGTGATTGTTAGGTCCATAACTTTTGAACACAGGGAGAAATCGCCCCCTTTCCTGCAGCCATGTGCTCTCAATCGCCTCCAAAACACAACAGCAGGTTTAAGTCAAAATCAGATGGATTTATTATCCAAGAAGCATAAAAACAGATACAAACAGTTACAAACCGAATCACACTACTAATAACAAAACAAACATATAAGTTCCATGAAATTGAGGCCCCGTCCGCACCACACGACAGATTGGTGTATCTGCCCCATGGTACCGAGGAGGTCTGAATCTCTCCTGGATTGACATCTCCTTTTTCCCCCAAAGTCTCTGAAAAGTCTCACATTACATATCGATCAATGATTGGCTGAAGTCCAACAAGCCCCTCCTGGGCCGTTGATCCATTGTTTTGATCTTCACACCTCGCCCAGCCACTTTCACACAACCCCCCCTCCAGCACATTCCTCAAACCCTCCTCTTTCACTCAATGCATGAAATGACAACACTCCTTGAGTCAAAACCTTTACAAGTAAATACACTGTATCACATAATATCCATAATTAGGAGCTTCAAAACCTAAATTTCTCACATGATGCAGCTCAGCCAATCAAATATGGGCATTCTGACAAGTTTCCTGACTCGAGTGAGATGTACACACACCGGGACACAGGGCTGAGACGAGGAAGGAGAGCAGTACATTTGTTACGTTAGTTGTGAAAGTAAAATCATACGACGGAGTCCAAAAGAGAAGAGTGGGTCGCGGCTGGTCTTTAAGGGGTGATGGTAGACCCCGCAGACAGACCAGTTGAGAACCACTGTCCTACATGAGCGCAGAAAACAATATATTTCCCACAGTTTAAGCTTCTGCATGTTCCAAATGCACTAGTATTATTCAAACGTACTGTTCGGTTTGTAAGCTTCGTACCGAACGGTTTAATACAAATACGTATATAGTAACAGCCCTAGAAACGAATAATAGCTGTGGCGCCATCATGTGGTTATAAGGTGGTATTCCAGCTGCAGGACAGGAGTGAAGGCCCAGGTATGAAATGCACAGCCCGCCACTGAGAAAGCAAAATTTCAAAATTGGCCAGTGCATTATGTTTTTTTCTGTAAACATAGGACAACAAAAATGTAATTAAGCATTCCTTTAAGGAGGCACTTTTGAAACTCAGCCTTATCTTTGGATTCATCACTGAGCTTGTTATGATCATTAGTGTTTACTAATATACACACATCAACATCATTATTTCCTCTTGTACTGAACCTACAGCCTCTCAGGAAGGTGGCTGATGTGCTCGTATTTGTTACAAAACAAATACGAGCACATCCTGTTAGCCATCACTATGCCATATACTATATTATACATTAACTCATATTGGCTCATTTATTTTTGCCAGGTAGGGTCAGTGCTATGTCCTTGTTGGGTAGAACTTGAAAGAAATATAACAACGTTATCACATTGATGGTTTTCTGCTGAGCAGATTGAAATATTCACATTAAAATAAAATTGTGATATGGTACTCTGGAGGATGGTCAATGAAGACAGCGCAACATATCAGAGATCCACACTACATTTGATTTTGTTTCAGTGTTCTGGATCTAAATGCATTTGAGAGGCAGAACAAAGCTGAAGGACTGGGAATGGTGACAGAGGAGGGATCAGGTAAGCTTCACTACTCTTTATATCTCAAGGTCATAACAATAGAAAGAAAGGTTCTTTGAATAATCATTTTTCTGAATTCAAGATTGGTGTTTACTGACAATGGTTTGTTGATATAAACATGCTTTTTCTTCACCAGATACAGGTCAAATTCAAAATTGCCACTTTAATTGAAAATTGTACATTCAAACCTACATCTAAAAACCAATGCTTGCTGAATCCATTGGTTTAGTAGATGGATGCTAATTCTAATATAAAATGTTTCTTCCTCTTATTTAAAATCTTTCCTAAGAGGAAATGGAAAGCGTGTCTGTGTTTTATCCTTGTCAAATCATTTTTCTTTATCCTCTCATCACTTTGGTTGAGCAATTTGTTGAATTTCATGAAGTGGTAATGCAGTACTATCTGTTTTTTATATGCATTATTAAGTGGGATTTCCTAGTGTACATGCGTACGTGCTTATGATTTGACTGTTACATCTAATGTGTGTATGCATTTGTTACAATCATCCTTTGGATTGCATACTGATACTTCAGATCTCCTTTGTTTTACTATTGTGTTGCACTAGATTTTGAAATACAGTCATAACTACCGAATAATATTCTCCATGTAGCAAAGTAGGAATAGTGTGTCCTACCATAAAACCTCTCAGGGAGGAGCTCACAATCAATGTTTGGGAGCACAGACTTTGCATTATGGCGTTTGACTTTCCTTCACAGAGAGTTGGTTTCTTCAAACCATGGAAGGATCTTTTCCAAACCTGAACCATGACCGCCTGTTTTTCTAACTGTTAACGTTCAATCTCTGAACCCATTGGCTATTAGCCTCTGCGGGCAGCTGCCAATATTTCTGGGATTTATTATTCCTTGCAGTGGTCAACTTTTTGCAGTCCGATTAGCAACTTTAGACCCAACACTGTAGTTTGAGTTGAGAGACAACGAGGATCATTTCACAAGTAGCCAGTTTACAAGCTAATTTAAGCAAACAGAAAAGCTAAATTTGTTACGGATGTAGTAAGGACCCAGGAGCAGTACGACAAACACCAGGGATAGTTTGACTCGAAACTTTATTTTCTTCGGCACACACACACAACAGGAAGAATATCCACAGAAAAACAGCGGCAGGTTCTCATGGTCGGGGACAGAAGGCTGAGCGAGTTACCAGGGCAGAGGCGAGGTAGTCCGAAACAGGCAGGGTCGGCAACAGGGAATCAGTCCATGGGTGAATGTGGGAAAGTTTAGCATGAATGCAGAGAACGATCTGGCAGTGAGTGTGTGTGAGGCAGGGGTTTAAACAGTGAAGAGGCAGAGTGAGCAGGTGAGAGTGATGAGCTGATGAGGTGAGTGTGACTGGCAGGTGCACTGAATGAACTGATTAGGTGAGTGAAAGGTGGAAAAAGCTAGACAGAAGTGACAGAGCTGTGACAAAATTGTCATTGGACGATAGCCGGTGGGTTCCCAGATTGCATTTTGTCCAATTTGTACCACTGTTTTGTTCTCCACATGGACTGTTTACCTGCTCACACTACTCACAGAAAACACATTTTGGAAGGACCCGACAAAACTTTTTTCCTGTTTTTTAAGCATGAAGTCTTGCTAGTCAATTAAGTCAGGTATGACATATACTTTATGAACAGACTCTACATTTCTATGCAGAACGTTTGAGCGGGCTTTTGGTTGCATGCCTGTGTGGAGAGCGAAAGAGGAAGGGCATTCACGACTGCTTCATTTTAGTAGTCATCAACTACTCCCAAAGACAAGTTGAATAGTTGATTAATTGCAGGAGGGTTATCAAGTTATTTTCACCCAATAAAAATGATAGGTTCTTGTGAAAAAGTACAACAAGTAAAGAGCTACCTAATGTAGGCGGGATCCACCTGGGGGTAGGTGAAATAGTCCCTGATTGGCTCTGAGAGGCTGTTTACAGTTGAGCCACGATCTGATTGGACTAAACTCCCAGCAGGCATGTCTGAGCTGGAGGTACTGTCTGACTGTATTATCAACACGGCTGCTTTCTCGATAGGTTTAGCTCAAACTGGAGATACTATGTCTGCAATTAGTTAGCTTTTTATTGGTTTAAAATGAGCTTGGCTACTTGTGAAACAATCTGCTCTTGACATCGTCTCTCAACTCCAACTGCAGTCTCGCGTCTCAAATTGCTATTCGGTAAACTTTTTTTTGGTGTACGGAAGAGGAAGTCTTGGCCCGGATATCTGCAGGTTACACAGGAACCCCCCAAAAATAGCTGCTTGCTTCCCGAGGTTAAATCGTTGTCCGACCAATAGCCAATCGGTTCCTATAATTGGTTATAACCTAATATCTGTATTATCACTTATATACTTTTTACTCTGTGGGATTTTAAAAAATCAAATAAAGATTAAAATCTTTTTGTCTTTTATCTTTGCTCAGTTTATGTATCCTGGCTTCATGAAGTTTTAAACTAAGAAGTCTCTGCTAGTTGATTACTGGTTCTTTGTCGTTACTACAGAACGTGAATGCTGCTCTAATGATTGCTGCACAATATCATACGTTATTAATGCAATGATACTATTTGAGGTGAAAGGGACAGCTAATATGTGTTTATCCAACTGTTTTTTACTGAATTGAATTATATTGTTGTCAAACCCTGAATGTGCAGAATGAAGAGAAAATTCAACCAGTAATTACTATAACTAATGTTTTTCTACTCATAATTTCCTCATCGTTGTCTTGAAAATAAAAAGTAATCACATTAACCAGCTTTTTAACTGAACAGGTTCACCATGAGTCTACAATCAAAAAATACATAAATCACAAGGGCTTGGTATTATATATATTTTTAGATATTTCTTTTAGATTCTTTTTTGAGTTTTACTGAGCTCGACAGGTTTTTTGTCAACTCATCATTTTTTTTCCATGTTGACCAAACAACCAAATTGGGATTTTTTTTAAAGCTCTTTTCCCTCTATGTAATCGTTTTCTTTGTTTCTTTCTTTGTTTCTTACTTTCTTTCTCTCTTTCTTTCTTCCCCCTGTTTTCCTTTTCTCATTTTGGTTTACTGCACTTTCTTCCCTTCCTCAGTCATCACTCATGAGCGTGGTAATTATGCCTTCTGCCATTTCCTTGTGTGTTGGTTGGTCTCTCTCTCTCTCTCTCTCTCTTTCACTACAGTCGGTTAGTTGTTGTG